GCGCGGCACGCAAGACCTCAGCTCCAACCCCTCTTCGCTCTCGTGCGCCAGTTCCATGCCAGGCACGTACACGTGGTACCATGCAGCAGGTTGGGCACATCATTCCCAGGGCGAAGGCGGCGAACAGGGCGATCCGCTGATGCGCGCTTTATGCGTTGGCGAAACATAAGGCCCTGTGCGACCTCGAAAGCCAACTCCAGGACGGCGAGGCTGTGTTCGCCTTCCCCAACGCTTCGTGCATCGTCGCTGCGCCCGAGCATGTCCACACGCTCTACGACGCTCTGGCATCTGCGTTGCGGAACCGGGCACGAATCCGCTTGACCAAGGCAAGACACGGATCTTGAACGAAGCCGGTGAAGAATGGTGAAGAGCCCCCCAACATCACTGAGGCTCCTGCTGCACCGCCCCCCGCGCAAACTGCTTGCTGTGCATCCTGCCCCGTCACCTCATGGCCGACTTTGCAGCGGAGAGCATGATGGGATGTTTGGCTGAGGATGGTGGGGCTGGCGCGCGATGCTTGGCCCAAGCTGAGGCAGCTCGGGCGCTACTGCGGACAGAAGGCTGGGAAGCGTGCCCTGGCACTTCCGGCGCCCCTAACCAGGACGTAGGCCTCGGTGACTGGCCGCATGGCTGGCAGTTCCACGCGTTGCGTACACGCAACGTTTCCTTTCGCGACGCGGGTGAGTGGTGAATCCAAGATATGGGCGCTAGGGTCTTGTAGATGGAGACTGTACGTTTTTGGGTGATTGGTAAACTGGAACACGTTGACAACACGGGTGAATCTTGTGCTTGGATTTCCTGCGGCATGAAAGTTGGTACGGTTTCTAAATCAAGATGGTACGAACGGTGTGTGGCAATGGTGTTCCTGTCATCTAATACTTGGAGACGAAGGTAGGTTCATGAGGGTTCTCCTTTCTATCCCGAATGATACGGCTTTCACGGTGCGTTTCCAAGGTGACCAGCCGCATGAGTCCTGAAACAAGCGTTTCCAAGGTGACCAGCAGCATGAGTCCTGAAACAACCGTTTTGCGGTCAGTATGACAAAGTGAAACAGAATGATATCGACATATACACACACAAACTGAGATGGTAAGCCACCTCACATCATAGATTCAAGCCTTCCAGCAGAGAACGCTGGGCTTGACACACGCCAGCCACAAAGTGCTTGTGGGCTGACATAAGGCCTACAGTGTTGCACGGATGTTGCGGTGAGAGGAGCACACGCAAAAACGCGTCGTCAGGCAGCTGCTCAACACACACGTGGGAGCGGTGCGTCCATGCCCGTCGCCACGGTACAAAGACGGGGCAAGAGCGCAGCGCGTGAACAAGACTCCACGCCGCAGCACCACATAAGCATGGCCGAGCTTGAGACCTGTGACGGGCAGAACGTCCATCAAGGAATGGGTGATGACCGCAACGGGCCAGCGTCCACTCGCGAACAATGGAAGTGGACACCCGTGAGCTATGGACATGGGCAAAAGTTCAGCCAGGGATGACATTCGGCGAAAAGACGCAGTGACGGCACAGCCGCGACTTCAGCATGACGGGCAACAGCAGCATGCTAACACGGCCGCGCCGGGAGCCCCAGAAGGCCACTGCAATATGCGACGGTCCCACTGCCGTAGTTTCTTGTCAAGAAAGGCCACAGAGCGGGCACCGAGGAATTGACATCCGTACAACAAAGACGGGAGCACGTATGAATGGAACAAGCTACACCGAAAGCCTGTGTGCAGTTGGCGATATTCCGCCCATGCCAGGAATTGATGAAATTGCGGTTACTGTTTGCATAAACACGTTCACCGTGCCTGTTCCACTTCCCCCAGAAGATAGAAAGGTAAATCGTAAAGGTGAATCATTAACTGGACCACAAGGCAGTAAAGGTTGCGTTCACCCTAATAATAATGGTATGTTGTCCTAAGGTTTACTATTCGAAGGCACGCAGGAGCATGGCTGACTGCCATCCCTAGCGAGGCTGCCACGACGCTGTCGCCGGATGTGATGCAGTTGGCCGGCGAAGGACATCCCCCATCACCAGCTTGTCGATTCAACGCACTCCCTGTTCCGACCAAATCTGCAAGAAGGAAAGGACACAGATGACAGAGATTGGACAACATGATACAGGAAACACATGAAACATTGTGGAAAAGTTTGGAACACAAATACAAACTGGCTATCAGACACTTCACCTGACGGCGGCAAGTTCAAGCTCTGAGGCACGGGGAGGTGCATTCAAGAGAGGCGACTTGAGATGAGGGGGTGTCATAGGGTGGCTCGGCAGAATCCACGAGGAGATCGCTCAGGAGGGGAACCTACCCATCGACGTTGGCAATGGCAAACAGTGGGAGACCTGCATCGTCTGCTCCCCAGAGCGCGTCGCTGCGGACGATGAAAAGACTTCTATTCAAAAGAAACACAGCTAAGTTGGCGAGCGATGCTGTACAATGCTGCAGGCCGGTCAGACGAAAGAAAATATTTGTCTAAAGACTATCCGCTCAACATCGCTCAACCATCCTTCTTTCGGTGCTCGATTGCCGTGATAGTTATTCATGTTGCCACGATGTCCAAAGCATGGATTTGTCGAAAGCATTTGACCGACTTGACTGGCAAAGCTCATGGCAAATAGCTCCACGTGCCCAAGGTGTGACTGAACAGATCGTTTGGATTTTTACAGTGCATGTATTTGGACTAGCTCGGCGAGGTACGCAGCCGTCGCAGAAGGAGCCCGCGGAGGTGGCCGTCCCCGTGCGGAGGGTGAGGTGTGGCAGGCGCGGCCTCAGCGGGCTTGCGCGAAGGAGCGGCTGAAGGAGCGGCTCAGAAGGGCGATGGCCTTGGTGGAATCCGCCCAGGATGCCCTAAACGCCGCAGGCGCGTGCCGAGACCCAGCCCGCCATGACGCAGTGCCGGCTGCGCACGCAGAGCCGCTGTGGGTGGCAGGCCGGCGGCTGCATCCGCGAAGAGACCTGGGTGTCCTCATGAGTCTGAGGAGCTCAGTTTGGCGAGCCAACGAAGGCTGGCGCCCAAGTTGGAACACCAAGAGCGACGAGCCTCTGCTGCGACGGGGGCAAAGCTTCATCGCCAGCCCACACACAGGAACCGGGCGTGAGAGCAGCAACACCCTCTCAGGAACTATGCCGGCCTCGGACCACACACGGGTTTTCGTTGCAGTGAGGCGCAACCGAGCATGGAACCACAAGTGATCCTCAGGCGATGGTAATTACAAGTGCGAGATACGTGCACTGAGCCGCCTTTGGCGGATGTGTTGGCGGATGCCCGCCACACCTTCCCGGTGGTTGCCAGCCGCCTGCCGGCCCGTCCGTGAGGCTGCGGTGGGAGGAGGTTTGGCCTTGTACATAGAGATTCGCTCGCGGGAACAGAGCCGAGGAAAAAAAAAAAAAGATACGTGCAGGCTGTGCCAGAACGTAGATGTCATCACGGTATGCCCGCAGCTGCTCGTCCTCACGCAACTCAGCCTGAAGGGCGCGCAGCGCGGGGTTCAACGCGAGGGCGAACAAGGCAGGCATCAGAGGGTCGCCCTGCTCGCCCCCCTCCGCTTGGGCAATACGGTGAGAGCGATCGCCGGCTTGCCACACAGAACAGGACTCGCGTGCATACCACAGTCGGCAGAAAGGGAGAGCTGCAGATGCAGCCGGGACACCGCGCAAGGACGCAAGCATGGCTTTGCGGCTGACAAGGTCATATGCTGCGGAAACATCAGCGGAAAGGACCGCGAGGTGGGGGTCAGCTTGCGTACGTGCTTGCAAAGTATGGGCCAGTGCTTCGCCACCAGCACGAGTGGAGAGAGCATATTGATGCGGATGGCAAGCCGCCTCGATATCGTTCGAACGCTGCTGTGCCGGTGTGCACGCAACAAGCCTGCGCAGGAGGTCACCGGCGGGTTTGCGAATGGCAACCAACAGCGAGCTCAGGGTAGGTGGCCCGCTAATGTCGCTCCGCAACTCCCCATCGACGTCCGCACCGCATGCCTGCGGTTGCCCTGTGCGTGTCAGCGGCGACACGAGGGTGGCATGGCAGCACAAGGCCCGGCCTGTGGGCGTGGCTCAGTGGCGTGGCTCCATAAACAAGCATGTCAAGTCGCTGCCGCTCCCCGGGCGCCACGCCAAGGGCCGTGGTGTGCGCAAGCCATTGCTGCGGGACCACTTGCCCTCTGGCCCGACCGCCTCGCGAGCGATGGGCCGCAACGTCCCGAGGCGATGGGTACGCTCGTAGCATGCACGCTGGCGCAGCAGTTCGGGGAGCAGTTCGGGGAGCAGTTTCGGCAGGCACGCGCCATTCCAGTTCGCACTCAGCACGCGCGCCGGCTCAGAAGCGTTGATCCGTGCATTGGGGGCCGCAACGGAAGCGGACCCTCAAACAACGTTGCTGAGCATATATGGCGTGGGCGCGCATGGCCACATCTCCCGCGCCAGTATGCTGCGGGCTCTGAGCTCCCTCGCCCCGCTGGCCGGCCCGCTGCCCTTCGCACACCTGTTCTATGGGCAGCCCAGCCGCTATATATGTTATGATGGGCGGGGGGGTTGCTGCATGAGGTGCTGCAGGACGAGGGATCAAGGGGTTGATACCGGGGTGATACGCGCTCGGCCAACATGCCGCCCTCCTCCACCTCCACTCCCGGCTGCGGCAGAACGAGCGTCTCTATGCCTTCCGGCATGATGTCGACGTCACGTCCACCCCGGAGAGGACGCTCACTGTTCCGCGGTCTGGCCAAGAGGCGCTGGCCCATCCGCCAACGTCTGGGTCCGGGTCCATCTCCGCAACGCCACGAGAACGATGACAAATGCGATGACTCCGCGTAACTAGCAGCGCCCCCGATGCTCCAGCGCCAATCGAAGCATGGCAAACCGCGAACCTGGATCCTTTGGAAGCACCAAGCTCTATATAAAAACCTTCATTTTGCCACTCTCATTCGGGAAGCAATGGTTATTGAAGTGTTTTCTTCACGTGACGCAAGGCTCGAGTAGTTCCAGCTGGTTCAGAGAGCCATGGGCTGCTGTGAAAGCAAGCTCCCTGCTGAACTCCCAGCGAAGTCCTGCCCTGCACAGCCCCCGACAGAGGGAGATCTACTGGGCAGAGAGGGTGCGCCCCTTCAGCTTCCCTGCAGTGCAGCCCCGAACTTGCTCACAAGCCGAGCCCGTGAACCCTTGAAAGGGGCACATGTGGCACCGCGAAGCTGGGAGGATCACCTGAAGACGGTCGGGGTAGAATTGCAGCCTCTTCTTCGGGATCATGCCTTTGTGGCAACGTGCTGTGACCTCGACTGTTCCGGAAATCTCGACGAGCATGAGTTGAAGCAGGCTTTGGCATGTTTTGGTTTGAAACCTCCTCCGCAGCAGGTGACAGAGTTGATGGGCGCAAGGGCCCGGTTGGACACGGAGACTTTCCGCCAAGTGGCGTTGGATTTGGCCAAGCACCTTCCACGGGAAATGAGATGTCCAGCTGCAGTCCCCCATTCTCTGCGTGGAATGGCCCTCGGACAACTGAAGTACTTACAGGAGATTTTTGTTGCATCCGGGTGGTTGGAGCGGAGGTGCCAGCAGCACAATGACGAACACGCAGATGCCATCCAGCAAGGCATGGCCTTTCAACAAGGCCCGAATCTCTATGCCATGGATAGTCATGTCGTGACTCCCCTCACCAAGCCAGGCGAATGTGAAGCTCGAAGGCAGCTTGGTGAAAGCAAGCTTGTCCCCAGAGCGAGGCACCAGTCCTCGTTTTCCGAGCTTGTGAACCCGTCGGGCTGCCGAGTGCACTTCTTCGTCTCACACTTTTGGGGCCACCTCTTTGAGAAGACCATGCAAGCCCTGGGCGCCTGGGCGCAGCTGCATTTCAAGGGCTTGGCTCCGTTTGCAGATGCGGTGGTCTACTGGATCTGCCTGTTCGCGCTGAATCAACACCAGGTGCCCCTTGAAGTTTTTTTGCGGGGTGCAGGATTTAGGGGTGTAATGATGTGTAAAGCCTAGATCCGTACCCTCACAAGTTTAATGCCTAAGCCTAGATCCATGTAAGGCTTCGGGTGTATTCATGGGACAGCACCCCCAGTAAGAAACCCCGAATGTTGAGCCCCAAGGTGGCGGAGGAGGTTGGCGAGCTGCCCATGCAAGGGCCTTTCAATGCAGCTTTGGCGCAAGCGCGCGGGGGCGCAGTTATGATCATGGATGAGAAGGCAGAACCATTCAAGAGAATCTGGTGTTTGTTTGAGGTACATCGTTTGCAGGAGATGAATCGGCCACTGGAACTCATCACTGACACGGGTGCCTTTCGCAATGTGCTGCAGAATGCAAGAGGCTCAGTAGAAGAGGTTGCTGCGCAGGAACTTCTGTACTGTGCCGCTTCCACCTTGTGGAACGTCAAGGCATATGAGGCTCGATCCAGCAGTGAGCTTGACAAACAGCGGATTCTGTGCTCCATTTGCGACCCTCACCTTCGCAACCTTTCGGGCCAGCATTTGCAACAGCTTGGATTCCAGCCTTCTGCCTTCAATGAGTTCGACAACAAAATCCACAGCTTGTTGTCAACCCACCTGCTGGAAGCATTCGTGGAGGCGGGTGATGTGATCCGGTCCTTTGAATGCTTTGCGCATGGTGCCCGATTCACACCAGCGCAGCTCGCGAAGTTCCTTGAAACAGCAGGCCCCCAAATGGGGGACCCGCAGAAAATGGTGCCGATGCTGGGTCATTGTTGAAAACCATTCTACAATTTTATGAGTACTTCAACCCAATAAGGAACAAACATGGTAATCTTCAGTCGTACCCCAACCATGATGCAGGATGGTGCTGGCCAAGCTGCTGCGCGAGACGGCTCACCACGGACATGGTCCGGAAACGCGAGCCTTGATCGAAGCTGGTGCTGACTTGGATACATCAGCAGGCGACGGGATAACAGCCCTCATGTTCGCAATCATGGGTGCCCATACGGAAGTGGTTTGCGACCTGGTTCATGCGCGAGCGGATGTGCAAGCTGTGGCGAATGTGGATGGCATGACACCGTTGTTGCATGCGGCAGTGACGGGTTCCAGCGATATCCTCAGCGCACTGCTTCAAGCAGGTGCATCGACGGCAGTGACAAATGCTGCTGGATTGACGCCCGTGTTAATGGCAGCAGACCGAGGACATGCACCTGCGTTGGCATTGCTGAGCCAACATCGGGCTGACATGCATGCCACAGACACCCGTTTAAGAACACCACTCACTGTAGTGGCAGGCCTGGGACATGCTGAGGCTGCACGAGTTTTGATTGGCCTCCGCGCAGATACAGAGCGAAGAGACATGGATGGGGACACGGCATTGACGTTCGCAGCTGCACTTGGCAAAGATACGATCGTTGACGTTCTCCTCGATGCAAGGGCAGAGATTGCGGCACTGAACAATGACAACAAGAGCGCTCTTCTTTTGAGTTCTGCCGGGGGGCATGAAGCTGTCGTGCAGCATTTGCTTCGCGCGCGTGCAGATACAAGCAAGGCACAGAATGGTGGTGACTGCCTGTTAGCTGCTGCGGAAAATGGCCATACTTTGGTGGCCGACTTGCTCATCCGCGCAGGGATGCAAGTGAATGATGTGGATGAGGGCGGAGCTGCACCGATCCATATGGCATGCTTCAAGGGACACTCCGAGGTCGTGGAACTTTTGTTCAAGTCGGGCGCTGTTGCTACACAGAGGATACATGAAATAGGCGTTTCCCCGTTGCTTGCTGCAGTGGCTCCAGGCCATGAAGCGGCTGCTAGGGTTGTACTGCGCGCTTGTCCAACTTCCGTCGGTGATGTTGATGCGAAAGGGCGGACAGGATTGCACATGGCAGCTTTGCACCATGACCATGACGACATTATCAAACTGCTGCTTGAGGCTCGGGCAGATGTGAATGCCACGGACCCAGATGGCATTACAGCCCTGATGCTTGCTGCCGTCGAAGGGCATGAAGCCCCAACAAGGTGTTTGCTAGATGCTGGCGCAGTGGCAGCTGCGAGAGCGCAAAATGGCACCACTGCGTTGATGGGAGCCGTGGTGGCTGGCAGTTGCGCTGTTGTGAAGATGTTGCTACCTGAGCTGGCAGAAGGCCAGCTAGAAGCTGTCGACCACGCCGGCACTAGCGCCCTCATGATGGCTTCAGCAAGAGGCGACGCAACAATGGTTGCCAGCTTCTTGGGGCACCAGAAAGAAGCAGGAGTTCACCAGAAGGATTCTGAAGGACGAGATTCCTTGCTTTTGGCCTGCACGGGTGGCCATACTCACGTGGCAGAGCTGTTGCTGGAAGCAGGCGCAAATGTGGAGACGCGAGATCGGCGCAACTTTACCCCCTTACAAGCCGCTTCACTGGAAGGATCAGAGAGTTTGGTGACGCTGCTGCTAGGTTTCCGCGCAGACCCAAATGTAAGGGGCCCACACGGGCGGCATTCGCTTTTTGCTGCTGCCTTCTGCGACTCTCCAAGCGTCGCCAAACTCCTACTGACCGCCAGGGCGGAACTTGATCTGGAAGATTGCCATGGTGTGACTCCCTTGATGCTTGCAGCCGAAAAGGGTCACTATGAGATGACGCATCTCCTGCTCGAGTCGCGTGCCGACATGAATGCCCGCAGCCAGAATGGCTGTTCGGCGCTGGTGGCGGCCTTGGAGTGTGGGCACGAATCTGTGGCCCAGCTCTTGCGCAGTGCAGGCGCGGAGGAGACGGGCCCTTCAATTACAATTCGGCGGATAGGTGATGTGCCCCCAGGCTTGCTCGACCTGCTCCAAAATGCAGGCAGCGGAGATGGCGCAACAGTGCCTTGCACAGCGCTGCCGCCGGAGCTTCTTGCAGTCCTACAGGGCCTGGCGGATAGCTGAGTGCCCAAATTCGGGGTTTCCGTAGATGGTATCCCGCGTTATTTCGAACCTCCCTTGACAAGTGGGGGAGGAACTCTTTAAAGGCAAGGGCGGCAAAGTCCATTGAAGTCGACTTGACCAACAGCGTCAGAGTTCAAAGTGCCTTAGTTGAGCTTGCACAGGGCGTTTGCAACAGATTGGAGGCTGTCGGACAGGACAAGCCCTGCAAAATCAAAAGGTTCCTCAATTGCAGAAAGCACATTGCTCCCCAATGGGCTTACCTTCCTTGACTTTCGTTTTTTTCACAGGCCGCCGGTCTTTTTGGAATCCATGTTAGCGGCAATCCCCAAATCATTTCGCCAGGCACGCGAGAGATCGCGCGAGGCCCGCTTGTTCAATGTGCGCGGCTCGCAACCACACGGCAACTAAGTCAGGCTCATTGCATCTTCAGCCATTTTCAGCAAGCAGGCAGGCAGCAAGCTGAGCGAGCTTTGCCAAGACTCAAAGCCGCGTGAGCGTCCTGGCTTCTTGTTCCTAGTGTTGTTGTAGCCACATTATGCCACATTGTTCTTTGCTTGATCGGTGCCGATTGTTTTGGTCGACAAGCTTGCTGAAAAGGGCGAGGGGAGCTCACCATCTCGAGGCCTGGTGCCGCAATGGGCATGGCGCGAGTGGCGCGAAGCTCGTGTGCAAGTGCAGGCAGCATGGGCAGGCAATGCCATGGCCATGGGCCAAGCGGGCAAGCTTGCGTACGAACGTCGCCTCCAGCGGCGGTCGCAGCATTGTATCTGGATAGCAAACAAAGCACCACTGAACCTCGGTGCGACATGTTGCCAAAGATCTCTCATCCTTGCTCTTAATACATCTTCACGCAGGACTTGCGATTTGTGCATGTCAAAGTGCCATGCCATGGTTCATGGGAGCAATGATGGGAAGCGCCTGGAAGATATGTGCTTGGTCCGCATCTCTTCAAAGGCCATAGGGTCGGAAGAAACGTGCGGCAGCTGAAAGCACCATCCTTGGGGAACAAATGAATCTTAAGATTGGGTTCCTATACCCTATTATTACTACAACAATTCGATTAACGCATATCATCCATGCACCCTTTTAGGGATTTTAGGGGTTTATTTGGTCCCCAAGGACTTTCTGAGAGTTTGTTCCTTGGGCCGCAATAGCGTGTCGAGAGCCTTCGAAGGTCCGCCCACAGAAGCAGTATCGAATAAACCTTTGCCTACGCATGCCTACGCCACGGTTTGTCGCGTCATGGTCGTTCAGCCTTTTTGGCGTCTTTGTTGGCGGTTTCAAAAACACATGTTGTGATTCGGTGGGAACTTTACTGGAGTACTAGAGCCCTCCCATTGCCAGACAGCCAAGCGCATTTACAACGTCAGGGGTCGGAAAGCCAATATACAATCCAACCCGCATGTCAAACACAGCTTTCGCCGGCTTGTATCTTCCATGTTCTACCATGTAGCTGATGCAGCGCCTGCCGGACATCAACGATGCAGGCTCGGCGCGTGCGCATGTGTGGAACAGCTGTAGCATGGCAGCGGAAAAATGATGCAATGCAGGCTGGTTATGGGACATCGCGCGTAGCTCAGGATGTAGCATGCAGTGATTGCCAACCGTGTCTTCCATGGGGAAACAAATCTCCGTCCAAATCCGTCAGCTGCTCCTCTCACAACACAAGCAGGCTAACCGTTGTTCACACAGAAACGATTAGACGACGCAAGCATGCCTTCTGAGCTTGTACTCATGCTTGGCATGTTCTTATATTCAAGGGCGAACAGGGCATATGCGTTGTTTTCCCAGGTTGCGTCCCTGCCATGGTTCATGATATCGCCGCTTGCGCCAGTGCCTGCCGTTTGCGGCAACTGGCCCGTTACACCACGCTGCCCCAGACCCAAAGCAAAGACACGACACAGTCGCGACCCTTGGCGTTTGTCCTCAAGTATTCGGGTCTGTATGATATATGTATGTATGTCTTTTTATAACATATATGTATATACATATATATATATAGATATAGATATAGCACTTTAGCATGCCTTAGCTGCATGCAGATTTCTCCGTCACTCCCCGACCCTCAGCCCCCAGAAAGCTGATGCGAGGCAGAACATCTGCTGGCCTGGACCTTTGGCTTTGCGGCCGGGAAGGCACGTCTTCTCCCTCAAGGGTTTAGGGATTAGAGGGATTAGGGTTTAGGGTTCAGGGTTTAGGGTTTAGGGTTTAGGGTCTAGGTGGCAAAAAGAATCATCTCAAGTTGGCCCGCAAAGGCCGAGAAGCCGATCCCCTTCTACAGATGTCTCATAGGAGCCTTAAGCACATTCGGAGCAAGATGCAAGTTTGGCTTGGCCGAAAGAAAAAAAGTTTAGCAACAAGGTCTGGCCCTGATTAGAATGAACATGCGGAAATGACTCCCACCTTCTCCTCTTTAAATCTTAAATGAAACGGTCTGGGCCTAAACCCGCACCGCCCTTCCATCAAAACGGGAACAACGTACTGCATTTGTGCGACTGTATATTTCGGGTGACGGAGATTGAGCTTTGGAGGTTTGGGTGATGCTTGAGGCGACTTGCTGCAGGTTGCTTTGCGGGCAGCTCAACATCCGCGACATTCAGCTCGCGCCCGCGCAAGCAAGGCCCAAATGGATGCGGCAGTGGGGATCCCTTGGACGCTCGGAGGCATGCAAAACATCATCTGTTTACTGATGTCGGTGTGGCATGGCTGCGTGCATTTAAGGAAAGACGAAACCTTCTCCGAACGACAACATGCACTTCATGAACGCATTAAAGCACTATGCTCCAGTGGCAAAGGCAAGTTGGTGAAGAAGGTCGCGGAGCGCTGCCCAAAAAGCACTTCCGTGATCAGGCGATGACATGAAATGCATGTCTGATTGTCGCAGGTGCCCTCTACGGATGTTTTGCCTGCAAAAACCTTGGTGGTGAACTACACGAACGGTGGGGAAGGTGACGCAACTGTGGCTTTGGTGCTGTGCGTTTTGCCTATGGAGTGCCGACTTAGCTTTCGAAAGCTGAGGCGGGCGGGGTTGGGTTTTGCACTTCGCAGTTTCGAGTCGAGCAGCGCTCGGCACTTCTGATCGAATGAGTCTCCAAAGGGTTCGCTCGCGCGTGCGTGCCAATCGTCCCCCCCTTGGAGGTTTGGGTTTAGGGTTGAGAAGGGTTTGGTAACCTTGGCGACCAAGTGAACCCCCAAAATTGGGATCCGATACCCTATACAAGAATTCCCATTAAGGTAACACGAGCCCTAAACCCTTTTAGGAGTCCTCTGGTCCCCGAGGCTGGTGTAAGGGTTTGGTTTGCAAAATTCGGATTGCAGGCGCGCCCTCCGGAGCCAAGGGGTGGACAGCCTTCAAGCGAAACCTTTGGGCCTGGCCTCCCCAGAGGAAGCCGAGGAATCCACTGGCTGCCAAATGGGCACCTTGCTTGCCTTTGGCCCATCATGTGCCCTTCTTGTGTCTTCCCAACAGGTTCTCTGAGTGCAGTGCTGATGGAAGGTATGGTCCCTCCAGTTTGCATTGAACCCATGCTGCCGGTGTTTGTGGACATGCAGCTTTTCGAAGTGTCGTGGTGCAGTTTGGACATGTTCTGTGCTTCTGTGCAGCACCCGAAGCGGCATTTGGGGGGGTGAAATTCTACAAGGTGGGGCCCCCTAGTTATAAGTAGAGTTATAAGAGCCCTAAATTGGGGTATAAGGATCCTATACACTAGGTTATAAGTCCCTTAACTGCAGTTTGTATAGTAAGGTTGTATAGTCCTCCAGGTTGGCTGTCCGAGCCACGTGGTCGTGGGCGCGGCGCATCCGGATCTGCATCTTGCAATTTCATCACGTGTTCTTCTCGGCGAAGCCGAGGCACGACTGTCACATTTTGTGGTTGTCTCCTCTGTGAACCATTTTCCCTAGAAGCCCATGGCGATCGGTCAGAGCGAGCAGGCGGCCATCGCTGACCTCTCATCGGTGCCTGGCGCAGATGACTCGGATGAACCGGCTCCGGTCTCGAAGTCCGCCCCGGTTCTATTCCCATTGCGGGCTGGTGGAGGCGCGGTGAGCATTGTGATATTTTCTGGCTTAGGGTTTAGGGACGGTTCCAGGGGTTTCCTCGGCCTCAGCACGGGTTCAAAAAAAGGGGTTTCCCGGGCGCAGCAGACGCTTGATTGTTGCATTGCAGTTTGGATCTGCCGTGTGCGCAGGTACCGTGGTGCACGCGGTCGTGTTGATCGCAGCCGTCCGTCGTTTGTCTCGTCAGCTCTTGTTCGCGGATCTGCTCCCTCCTGGGTCTGACCGGGATGCAGACCGAAGCATCTGGCGGCTAGGCAAGTTGGACCTGAGATGGTGGATTCGAGCGGATTCCAGTAGGTTGTTGCCCGGGCAAGTTTTCAAAGCAACCCTAAACCCCAAACCCTAAACCAAGGTTGTCTCCAGACGGTTCCGGTCGGCCCATGCGTCTTCAGCTTCTCGTCGGCCGCTCGCTGGCCGAGCGCGTTGGACCGAGCGGCGCAGCGGCGGTCATTAAAAGACTGCGAGCCCAACAGTGCCGCCCTCGGTCTAATATAGGGGTCGGAACATGTACTGAAAACATTCCCTTAGGTTCGCTTTGTAGTTATACTAGAATAACCCCCCAAAACCTTATTCTAATTATTCAGGCCCTATAGTATCAGTTTTTATGTGGCTTGTTGTTTCTTGTGGCATTGTTCTGCTTGACTGGTCCTTGGTACATGAAGCAAGGAACGACAAGTGAGTTGCAATAGGAAGCGCTCCGTTGCAGGTTGATCTATGTTGCAGGGCGGCTGCAACTAGAGGAGCTTGGTGAGCCTTTCATGCATTTACTGGCCCTAACCCTACGCCTGAACCCTCCTACACTCTAAGCAACCCTAAGCCCTAAACCCTCAACCCTAAACCCTAAATACTTCCTGGTTACGACTGTCGGCCCTGGAGACAAGGAGCAGTACGGAAAGGCGACCCCATCGGCCCCAGAAGAGGCCGGAGGTAAGTTTTCCAGGCTCAGGGTTCGGGCCTGTTCGGGCCATCTAGGGTTGTAAGGGTTGTAGTTGTTTAGGATTTAAGGTTTAGGGTTTAGGGTTTAGGGTGATTAATGTCCGGGCGAGGTGGCAAGCCTGTTGCAAAAGGGTGATTGATGTCAAAGAAAAAAAGTGATTACTTGGTACATTTGTCAGTTATCATGAAGCACTTCAAGACTCTGGACTTATAAGCCGACACATATAGTGGATGCGCGGCATCTGTACATGGGACATTCTTCTCAAAGAATTCTTACTAGTAGAATTCTTGAATGGCTAGGCCTGGCATGAATCACGGGCTTCAGATCGTGCAGCAGAAGGGCTCAAAAGTGAGAAGGGGGTTCCATCAAATTTCTTTGTGTTAAACCTATACGTGAGAACCCCTGTAACCCTAAACCCTGAACCCCAAATCCTAAACCCTAAACCCTAAACCCTAAACCCTAAACCCTAAACCCTAAACCCTAAGCCCTAAGCCCTAAGCCCTAAGCCCTAAGCCCTAAACCCTAAACCCTAAACCCTAAACCCTAAACCCTAAACCCTAAACCCTAAACCCAAATCCTCGGCAGGTGCGAAAGAAAAGAGAAGCTCAATTCGACAACGGGATTGTGGACATGGTTGCCGAGCAGCGCCCCGTCACAAGCTTGCAGCTGTGTGCCTTTCCTAGCAGTTCGGGGTTTGGGTTTAGGGTTTAGGGTTTAGGGTTTAGGGTCTAGGGCTTAGGGCTTAGGGCTTAGGGTTTAGGGTTTACGGTTTTTGGGTTTAGGGTTTAGGGTTTAGGGTTTAGGGGTTAGGGTTAGGGCTTAGCGTTTAGGGTTTAGGGTTTATAGGGTTAGGGTTTTGGGTTTATAGGGTTTATAGGGTTGATAGGGTTGAGAGGGTTTATAGGGTTTGCTTCCAGGAACGAGACAGTGACTACACAGTTTTCCAAAACCACAAGATCGGCCATGGCTCACCTGGTACCACCCTGCTCCAGGAATCCCTGGCCGACGTGCAGTAGAGGGTTTGGGGTTGTAGGGCAACGAGACCCGGGAAAAAAAACAACAACAAAAAAACAGTGACGATGTAGGCATTGGGCTTGGGGCTGGGTGGGATGATAGGAGGTCGGTTGAGGGAACTCTCGGGGCCGTGCTTCTTTGGGAATACAACTGAGGATCCGCATCCTCGAGGAGGTGGGGCATCCTGGTCGGATGGCTCTAGTATAGTTCGTCTGCGATGTCTAAGTAGGGGTACTCCTCATGTACCCCAAGATATAATTGCAAGGGTGTCTCCAACATCGTCCCGCAACTTCATTGCCGGGAACGGCGGTTCTGTTTAGTTGCCTTCGGCAAGCCGCAGCACTTCTGAAGAGACTGGCTGGTATGCCCTAAACCCGAAACCCTAAAGCCTAACCCTAAACCCAAAACCCTGAACCCGGAACCCGGAACCCTGAACCCGAAACTTGCTTTGCCTGGTGCGCTTTGGCAGCTTCGGGAGGTCCACGTGCCCTCGCAACAAGACGTGGGATCTGCCAGGAAGGTGGGTGCAAAGAAGAGTCAGGCCCCACCGACAGTGCTGCACGTCACCTCAAATCAGGCTTTACGTAATTAGGGGTACCTTATTGGGGTCCTTGCTATAAGGGAATCCGCTAGTTTCCTACTATTTGGGGGGGGGGGGGGGGGCTAGTTTCGGGGTCCCTTATTTTCGTAACCCCTCAAATTATATTTTTTGAAGGCTCCAAATCAACCCAGTGGGATGGCGATTACCAGCATGGTGCAGGGTTTGCTTCAGTTTCTTCCTGTACGGGTGACATGCTATGAATGATAGCCCCTACAGGCATGACGGGTCGCATCAACGAGTGTCTGCTTGGGTCGCGTTCGCCCACGTTTCCGATTTTTCCGGTATATTTGTTGCGTCTACTTCGGAATCCGTGGCTTGCTATCAGCCTTCTTGTTGTTGCGGGTGTTGCTGTCGGCATGGTGGTTTGTTCTTGCCGTTGTTTGGCTTATAGCAGCTATGTGCATGGGGGTTGGGGTTTGCGCCTTTTTTCATGTTTGTTGTCTACAATTGCGCTTGCGAAGTGGTTTTGTTGTTGTTTTTGTGTTCTTGGCTCTCCAAAAACAGTTCGACTGCACTGTTGGGCGCGCCGCATAGACAACCTACAGTACCGCAGCTGGTAACTTCCCTCCCCACAACAGACCCTGACGAAATCGAGCCTCTTCTTGGGGAATGGCTGGTCGGTATGGATGTGTCTCTTCCTGTGAATGACATGATCTCTCACACCGTGACACGAAATACGAACGAACTCACTACTTTCGTGCTTCTATTTCGTTCTCACTTCGTTCATTCTATTTCATTGTGTTCTTGGTTTGACTACGCTCATTGAAACACCATTGAAATAGAAGACATGTTCACGCGTTCATTGCATGTTTTCATTCACTTGTTCACATTGTTCTCTACACTCACGCCCCAATAATAATATTAATGCGCTCTTCTACTTCATTCATGCGTAAACTTCATGAGTGTTTCAGTCGCAGAGCGTCTACTTGGGAATGGTTGTTTTTGACATGGCTTTGGTGGTTGAAAGTGTTCTTGCTCATCTATGCGTAGAGAAACTGATGTAATCAAAACCACTCTTTATCCAGCACCGTGTGGGGAACAGTCCGATTCTTCAACAGGGTTGAGAGCCTCGCACACTCTGAGCTGCAGGTGGTCCATGGTAAGGGCGTCGCACGCATGCCACGCAACTTGACGAAGCCCTGGCTGAAGTTCCTTTCAGCCTCCGATGTAAGTCGGCCGTTGATTGAACACAACAAAAAACTTCTTTGGCAGGTGCCGCCGGCACCAGATGAACCCACCCTTCCACTGGCGATCTCCGACGCCGTGCACCTGGCGACACGACGAAAAAGTACCCCCAAGCCCGAAAATCAAACCCCAATGCCAACAGCCTTGAAAGCTTGTCCCCAAACTGCACCCAAAACTTTTGGCCCAAACCCTTTGCTTGTTAAGCAGTCTAACAGATTTGTCCGAGTTGTGGGCGATGAAGTCTCAGGTGTTTTAAGTGAGATGCCCTTCCTGGAGGGCTGTGCCTTTCGGAGCTGGGAGTTAGCGTAGTTAGAACACTGTTAGAAGAAGACCAAGGTGTCGGAGCCCGTCGGCCTCCGCAAGTTGGAGAACGTACTTCGAGAGAGGCGGCTGGATCTCGTAGGAACATCTACGGGGGAACCCTAGCAGCCCTAGCAGCCACCCAATCTCAGATTCTCTTGCAAGTGGGCGAGATTGAGCACAGGACTACAGAGGATCCCCGAACTAGAAGCAGATCCCGGTTGAAAACTCCCGAGCCTTCTTCTGGCCACTTGAGGCTTGCCGGCTCTGCAGATCTCCCAGACTCGGATTCTGAGCAGCCCAATACTGCGACAGTGACGCCGCTTCTACCCGTCGTCGGATGCCTGGCCGATACTGATACAGAGCCCAGGTTTCAACCCCTTAAGCCAAACACGTAAGCCAAACACGTAGAAGCAAAGGATGAGACTCTGGGAATGTCTGGAATTGGGAAAATACAGCGACTGTAAAGTAAACCCGTCCTCCAGAAGCCTACGCCAGGAATAGATGCAGAGTGGCGTCCGAAATCCCCCAACGGCATTGCCCTTCTCCAGCTGTCCTTCCGGCGGAGCGTGCGCTTCAGATGCATGGGTACCTTCTGAAACGTTGAGAATGGAGAGTCTTATAGGCTAGCAGCATCACACCCCGCCATGCTTGTGTTTGCTGTTGTTTGCCGGGGGGGAGGGGGACGGGTCTGGCGAGGGTGGAGAAGCTTTATGCCGTACTGCCGGCCACGCTGACTGCAGGATTTGATAAATATGGAGTAATATGGAGGCTCTCGGCCCTAAACCGACAAGAGTCATGAATCATGAATGATGATCAGCATCCTGCGGGCAAGTGCTGAAATGTCCCTGCCCAGATTCCTCCTGGACATGGTCGTCCTGCAGCTTGGCCAGCTAGTAGATCTTGGGGCCTAGGCCCTTCTTGAAACCGTCCTAGACCTGTAGTTGTAGTTCCTGTTGAGTTGGGGTCGGGGGTGGGGGGCACCGAATTTGTTGAGGCCAAGTTCGTATCATACAAGGAGCAGCACGCTCGAAAAAACTACAATTGAAGGTTTGAGTCGGGTTCCAGAAATGGGGGGGCGCAGGGTTAAGGATAAAAAATGAGGGGTGCAGGGTTATATAAGGATAAAGGGCCACAGAAGGGTTGAGGATTTAGGGGGCGAGGAAAGTAGGGTTATTCAGGCATCAGAATCCAGGGTTGAAGTGTCATTGGGCGAACACCTCGGAGACAAGGCTTGACTACCCCGTTCCAAAACCCAGGATGCCTCAAGCTCTGAGCTACTCGTAGGAAGTACGTAAAGCCACCGTTTTTTTCTCCGCACCTTGAATCCTTTGCATGACCTAGACCCCCCCCCCTCCACACCCCGGTATGCCAAACACCCTTGAAACTTGAATCCCGCAAAAGCCCAAAATCCCCAAGCGCTCTTAGCCAAATAATAAAAAAGACACGATGTATTCTCCTGCGGCTATTGGTGTGAGTGTATATATTGGGTGAAAGCCTACTTCAAATATGCAAACAGAAGCCCTGCTGTGATGAGGCAGGAGGATGAGGATCTTTGGAACCGCGTGGCCAGGAGCCGGGCGCCTGATCTCAGGGTATGCAGAAGTTCTGTTTTGGGGGTTTTAGGTTACGGGTTTGGGGTTGATGGGGTGTAGGGTTTGAGATTCAGTCGATCTGTTGATCCAGTATGACACCTTGCGCCATGCTATGATTGTGCTTGTTAGAAATGTTGTTTTGGCTTGCGTTCAGGGTGGGGCGGAGAAGGCGACGCGCTGGAGCATGCAGATTTTGTCATTCATTCGGTTTTGCCTTTCGCTAGACTTCTTATTGTTTGTTGATGTACGAACTGTGTGATTCTTCTTTACACTTCGCCGAGCCTTGCTCTCTCGGTAGGATTCTTCGTGCAGCTCTGGAGTCTGAGCGCTTGTACAAGGCCTGGGATGAAAGGTTGTGGTTTAGGTTTAATGATGTAACGCTTAGGGCCTTGGGTTTAACTATGGGTGGTTTGGGTGTAGGATTAGGGGGTGGGAGCCTGCGAGTCTCTCAGTGTGGTATTGTTTTCAGCATTTGTTTTTCTCGCCGCGCTCTCTCTTCCTCTCTCTCTCTCTCTCTCCTTCGACCTTTCTTTCTTTCGCTCTCTCTATCTCCCTCTCTCATTCCCCTTTCTTCTCGCTCTGAGGGATGTGCGGCGTTCGATAGGGGCGGCATGCCACAGGTTGGATTCGGGCTGGATGTGGATTTGCAGCGGCTGGCGGTGACGCTCCCGGCGGCCATGCCTGAAAAAGTACACAACATCATCGAGCTGAGGCGGGCCTGTGGGGGTATAGGCGGGGGTTACAAGGGGAAGGGGGGTAGAAGGAGGGGGGGAGGTCTAAGGAGGGTACAACGGGGATATAAGGGGGGGGGGGGGGGGGAAGGTCTGAGGTACAAGGGGGTTTTGAAGGTTGAGGCTTTGAGGGTTATGGTTCTTTGTTTGATTGAAGTTTTCGGCCTGGGTCCAGGCTCTCGTGGACGTGTCAACTATTTGCTTCCTAAGATTTCCGGTCTGACATTTGCCTCGAGCCCCAAAACCCACTTAGCGTACGAGCTAGGTTTGAGGGTTTAAGGTGTTTATAGAGTTTATAGGGTTTACAGGAACTATAGGGTTTATCGGGTTTATGGTTTCGGCTGCCCCGAAAGCCCTTGAATCACTGAGTGACGTCACAGGGACCTGGCGCGAGAGGCACTACCGGACCTCCCGCCGGCATTGGGGTAGCTCAGCTTGGATATGAGGGTTTACGATATTCGGGATACTTAGTGGGGTCCTTATCATAGGGGGGTCCATATTCGAGGTCCCGTATTATCGAAAACCCGCATGAAAGCAGCCATGAAAACGCTTACTCTACAGTTGGGTGGAGAGAATGTCCCAGGGGGTTTGAGCACCATTTCGTGGTCTCGGCGTTCAAGGAGCTGGCGGCTCAAGTCAAGCGTGGTGTTCAGGGACTCTTTATCATGGGCGCAGTTCCATTCCATCGTCTCTTGAAGGCTGTCTGATGTCTTGCAGGTTTGGAAGCTTGGGCTTGTCTCGGGTATGCTCTAGGGTTTTGAGGTGGCATGGGGTTTATGCGTTCAGGCTGGGAGCTGCTCAACAGACTCAAGAAGCCATCCTCTAGTTTGCTTGTTGGTTATCTCACTTAACTTCAGGATGCCATTGCTCCCTGTTTTGGGGAAGAAGCCCCTATACATGAAAGAAAACAGACCTCCTCTTCTTCCTTGGTTACAGGGTAGGCCCTGAATGCAAGAAGGCCGCGCGCCTGCAACCGACGAAAGCTGAGGCTGTCGAGTCTCACTCGCACCGTCTTCGGGCTGGGGCTGGACAAGACCTGGCAGGCTGGGGGACCGGAAGCGTGCAGCCTTGGATGTGTGCCTGTACCGTACTGTCTTGCGCATTCTGACATCGGGCAGCACGGTGTAAGTATCGAGCGTGCCTCGCCCAGGGGTTCACTGCTCAGAGAGCAGAGCTGCCACTTTGTTCCGGGGTTTGGCAGCTTTCAAAGGTTTCATGGACGCGGGCCAGATGGCCGAAGTTTGTGAAGATAGATGCCGCCAGGTGTCCGATTGGCAGGCGCGTCCGCTGGAGCCAGAGCAGCTGGAGTATGCTGCCCAGGCTCTCCGGCCATCGGCGCCAGTTTTCATCAGCATTTTCAGAGCTGCGATATCATATCTAGATCGCGCGTTTGCCCTCTCTCGCTCTCTCTCCCTCCCTCCCTCGCCCTCTTGCCCTGTATGCACCTCATGCGCACATACACGAGCGATTTAACAAGTGTATATCGAAAACCAAACTCCGACCACGTTACACCCTAAAAACTCCAGACCCTCAATCCTGCGAGCCGAAACCCAAAACCGGGAACACGAAGTTGTCTATGCAGGACGCCCACATCTGTGTGCGGCTCTTCGATTCGCACTCCGGCAGCAATGCCCTTGCAGCCCCGGAACGCTTCAAGGAGGGATTCAGGCAAAGGGGCAAGTTTGGGGGTCCAGGTTCAAACCACAAACCCTTTAACTGCTACTTCCTAAATCGTGGCAAAAAAGCAATGGTGGGCTGAGGATCTACGCACCTAAACCCCACTCTGCGCTCCTAAGAACTCAACACCCTGGACATGAGGCTATGCTATAACCATGCCACCGTTGCCACGCAGCCTCTTCCTTCAGTCCTGAGCGAAGTTGCCAAGACATGGCGGCGAGAATGAAAAGGTTGTGCGTGGGACCCCGAGCGCATGCTTCGCACGCACACAACAATGTATATGTATATGTATTTGTATATGTATATGTATATGTATATGTATATGTATATGTATATGTATATATATATATAATATGTATATCTGTGTGTGTGTGTGTGTGTTTGTCTTATTGTATGTTTTTCAATGATGCTCCATGCTGAACTTCTGCATGTTAAGCAGAGGTTGCACAGGCCTCGTGTAATATTCAGCTCTTCAACGTCTGGGCAGGCGACGCTTCTTCAGGGTTGATAGAACACCATCAGGCTTTTGGGCTAGGTTGCCAGCGTCCGACAGGTGGCTGCAATAGATCGTCGCGCAAGAATCCAACGTGCGAAAAGCTCGCCGAAAGGAAGTCCGTAAGCCATCGGCTGTTCTGCAAGCTATAGTCAGAAGAGGAAACTGCGAAGCCCGCCCATGCAACCTCGAGCCACAAAAACCACGTGAGGCTGCAGAGCCACTGACAATGCGAATCCCAAAATCGCGAAATCCAGCAGATGAGTGGATGGGCACCTTCAACAACCGTGAAACGCCTGCCCAGGCCAGGGGCTCGCCTGGACATCGTGCCTGCGTCTCGAGGCTGCGCGCGTGTTGGTGCATGCTTGAGGTGCCAGGTTGAGGGCTCATAGAGGACCTGCCCTCAGTCCATTGCTCAAAAACCCGAGGCCAGAAATATCCTAAACCAACCCTGGCCCTCAGTCCAGTGTTCAAATCAGGTTTAAGGCTCAGGAAGGTGCAGGCAAGTACCTGGTGCAGCATTATGGGCGCAGTATTTAGGGGTTTGTTCTTTGTTTGGGCCCCATAGATTGTCGGAGCCTTGTGACCCCAACAGCTTATCACCCGGACCTCAGCCGTCAGCTCAGCTGGCCACAAGGCGGTAGCGCTCCCGCCCCAGCGAAGGCGGCGTGAGACCCGGGGGCAGGGGAGGGTTCAGGGTTTAGAGTTTAGGGTTCTTAAGGGTTTAGGGGTTAGGCAGGGTTTAGGGTTTATTTAGGGTTAGGGTTCAGGGTTTATTTAGGGTTTAGGGTTCTGTGGTTTCGGGTCAGGCGGTTTCGAGGGCAAGCTTCGAGAGGTCGAACTTCCAAAAGAGCGATGTTTCCTTGGCTTCCATTCTTCTTTGGCTGAGGCTCTCTGGCGGCCGAGTAAGGAGGCGACGCCTGTCCTGAAGTCTCGTGGGGCTGCCAACATGTTTGCTTGGGAGCTTTGCTGATCTGAAAGCCCCGAGGCCGAAGCCCTGACAGGAGCTTGTTTAACGTGTAGGTGGAAGTGTTCAGGAGCTTCAGTGGTCAAGAGTGGGGAGTTTCCAGGAGGTTGAAGACGCATGTACAGGCGGAGCAGACCCGGATCACGAATGGAGCAATCAGGTGTGTTGAGTTTGCGCGCGTGGAACGGGGTTTGCAGGGATTTCGCTCGGAGGTGGCGCGAAGACATGTGGGCACTTGGCGCTACCTCGCCCGTGTCGAAGGCGATTTCAGGCGCAGCACCTGGATTGTGATGATGGTGATGATGACAATGCTGATGATCATCATCATCGTTCTCATCATGGCTCCCTAAACCCTAAACCCTAAACCCTAAACCCTAAACCCTAAACCCTAAACCCTGAACCCTGAACCCTAAACCCTAAACCATGGGGCGTGGGATGAGCTTTGCCTTGCAGGGCTTAAGTTCAGGGCATTGGGCTTGGAACTCCGCAGCCGGGAGTTTCCAAAAACAAGCTCCCCTCTGTACACCCCTGGAGAAACAAAGAGACAAGCTTCGGAAACCTCCCGCTTATAATTAGAGTTTCACCAACCTCCTGCAGAATTCTGCGAGTTCTGTACCCCTAACCTGCACTCCACCCCTGCCGAGCACCTTCTTGAGGATCGAGACCGACCAGCGTGGTCGGGTGCCCAAATAAGAATCTGGGCTTCCAGGACTATCGGAAAATGGGTTCAGGACGCAGGGGGCTTTATGCGCTTGTTTTCGGGTTCAGGGCCTGGGTTTGGGGTTCAGGGCTTTGGCTGGCTTGTTAGATGTTGTCGGATGCCCTGTTTCGGGAACATTTGCACTCTGCCCCGCATGCAAGAAGGGATCCGGGATCCACAGCCTGAATGATCTATCGAATCACCCATAGGCAGAACCCTCGGACCAAAGCCACACCCCCCCCCCCCCCCACCCCAAATGGACTTAAAGCAAAAGCCCTGAACTCTACCTCCGAGGTGTGCTCCTCCTCTCTTACGAGGGGCCCCTTGACTCCGGAGCTTCGGGAACTCTGCTGCCGCAGGCCTTTTTCGCCACCTCCGCAGATGGGTCGTTCAGGGTCCAAGGTTGGCATGGCGTCTCTCGGAGCAAAAATTCTTCGGGGCTCGAGGGCCGCAAGCCTGCATAAGTGCGCGCTCTTTCCCAAGAGCTGTCATGGCGCAGCGCCAGGAGAAGAAGTGGCTCGAGGCAAGTTTACGCACGAGCGCGGGCCAGGTGCACTGCAGCTTCCACCTACGGCTTCAGTGCCTTTCTGGCTTTGGGCTTTGCAGGATGGTTTGGATTTCAGGCGGCTTGGGAGCAAATTCGAGCTGCTCTGCATGTCCTGGCACCTTGCACCTCATTCAAAACCAGTCCATGTAGCATCTAGGCAGTGACATGCCCAGCAAAGGGCCATGTGAACCCATAGGAGGCGGGCGCTGCGCGAGTACGCTACTCTGAGAAGACGGAGAGCATGATGTGCCGAGGGGGGCTTGGGATTCATGGGTCAGCGAAAGCCCCCGGGTTTTCTTCTTTGAACAAGCTCCAAGACATGGTCTTGCTTGCAGGTAATGCCTTAAGGCGTCCTTGCGCTGAGCTGGAGGAGGGGTTTCTCTGCTTTTCTTGACAGGCTGGCTTGGTGCAGCCCACCCTTCTCAGACTATGATTAGCTACTAGTTTCCTGTCATTGACTCCTTCTTTGTCAGCTCGTGGCACAAAGAGGTACGCTTTCCGCCCACCTGGTTCCCACGAGTTCCAGCCACCCACGGCTGCCTACCGTGCGATGACGGCCCAAGAGGCCTTGGACGTGAGGGGGATAGTGGATTCCTTGGCCTCGTGAATTTATCCCCCCAGGTGTCTATTGAAATTGAGTCTTGAGGGGCTTGTCCTCCGGGGCACGCTGAAGCGCGTGCCGAGGGCTTGCGGGGTTGCACATCCAAAGGGCTCGAAATCAAGCAGTGCTCGCACTCGCACTCTTCCTGCAGCCAAAAAGGGCTCGGGCACCTTCGATGCACTCGACTGCGCTCCGTGACCATGGCCGCTGCAGACGATTTGACAGCAGTTCTTGACGTGGCCGCGACTGATCCACACGGCCGCGGGCCTTTGTGGTTCGCATGTCAGTCAGGAAACCGGGAGCTGGTTTCCAGACTGCTGTCCCAGCGCGCCTCGCCAGAACAGGCGGACCTTCTTGGCTGGAGACCGCTCCACCTCGCCAGCTACCACGGCTCCCTGGATGTGGTGGAGCTGCTCATCGCCCGGCGCTGTGAGCTGGATGCCCGCACAAATGCTGGGCAGACCGCACGCTGGCTGGCGCACTCACATGCCCTGGCTCGTGACATCCACGTTTCCACGACTACTCACAAGGAAATCGCCGACGCCTTAGCAGCGGTGGGTGGATCCCTGGGCCTCGAGGTGGATGGCCAAAGCAGGGCCGACCGAGGTGAAGTTCGGCTGTGCGCGGAGGACGGCAAGCAGTACACACTGGAAGATCTTATCCGTACCTATGCGGACGAGCAGCACATGTTCACGAGGGAGGAGTGCGCAGAGTACTTCTACCGCGAAATGCGGTGTTTGGCAAGTGACCACGCAGCATGGCAGCTGGAGATTGCTCCAGCGCCGCCTGCACAGGGAGCGCAAATACCAGTAGTATTGTGCGGTGACGTGTGTTTGGGGCTTCAGGTAACGCAGGCAGCCCAGAACTTATCAGACCACTCCCGTGAAGTAGGCAGGCCTCATACTCAAGACCCAAGAACTCCCTTCTGCAGATGATATGCTCATTCTCATACAGGGCTTCGGCAGTTTACGGTTCATGGACGGTGATGAGGGGGAGTTCTTTGGTTGGCAGTGCTTGGCCAAGTTCAAGGGCCCCGCAGCTGAGGGCCTCTACTTCTGGAGCCTATCTTGGATTGAATTGCTGCAGTTTAAGGTTTAGGGTTCAGGGTTTAGGGTTTAGGGTCCTCCCCAGTCCTCACCCCTCATCGCTGGAGGCCAACCGCGTTTCGGCCGAGGGCGCGGTCGCTCTGGCCAACAAGGCTTCCAGGCCGTGGAGGGTTGAGGGAGCAGGGTTGTTGGAACCTGAGGCTTGAGTGACAATCCTTGGGAAACGATTGGCAAGGTTAGTTGGGATCCTCCCTGTGAGAAGAAGGTAAGAGAATCTTAAGCTAAACAGGTTTAGATGGAGGGTTTGCGATTCGGGGATTGGCTTCCTTTCAGGTTTTTGGTTCTTAGAGGCTCCCTCACGCCTAAGTCCCTTGCCACGAAAGTTTAAGTACTTGCATCACAGCTGCGAATCCCCCGCAAGAATAAAAACTGCTCGCCCTGCAAGACCCAAGCTCTGTACGCTTCTCTCAAAAAGCAGTTTGTAGTCTGCACCTTCATGAGATCCGGTGTCCAGTTTGGAGTTCATCGGGCTTAGGGACAGGTTTCATCTGGCCTGTAGTGAGGGCGTGTGCGGCGAATAAACAGTGCTCATCTCTTCGGAGGCTCCTGGAGAAGGGCCTGACCAGCCAAAGCCCTGGAGAGTTGAGTAGAGCTCCGCACACCGCAGGTCTCGTGCTTGCTCCTTTCATGTGTCTTGTGTGCCCTGACTGCTTTACGGGTGTAGTTGATGTTTTTCACAACTCTTCCTTGGCCTCAGCAAAGTCTTGTCTTTTAGGCTTTATTCCAAGTTCATGAGGAAGACAGCGTCTCGTTTGTATGGTCTGGACTTGGTACAGGGAGGTCTTCCGATCTCTGTAATCCGAAGAAGAAGATGTTGAAATGCTCTTGTGGGCGCTGATGGACTCCGCACACGGCTGCTTTCCAGTCTCAAAGCAGAACCCAGGAAAGGCTGGGCGGAGGTGTTGCTAGCAGTAGTCGACCGAGTCTTTGCAGCCATGAACGAGTACGAGCCTCTCGGACACAAGCCTTCGATGCTTTGGGGGCGGGAAAGTCACTTTGCTCTTGTAGGTGCCTATATGCCTCATTCGGCTGCTCTAAGCCCTAAACTACAAATTCATGAGGGCCCACCATGGAACCAGAGGCCCCAACACTTGAAGCCATAAGCCCTGCCCATATAGTTTGGTGCCATTCTAAAAGTGGCTTTGGGACGTCCTGCTCTAAGCAAACCATGGATGGGGGTTCGGGGGGCTCAGGGTTTGGGCGCACCCTGGCGCAGCAATCTGGGCTTCTTCCTTGAGTCGAGGGTTGGGAGCCACTGCTCCCTTAAACCCCTAAGCCCCTAAACCCCTAAACCCCTAAACACCTAAGAACCCCGAAAAACCCTAAACCCTGCAAGGTACATCTACATGAAGAAGCGCAAGGACTTCGGCCGCTACTGCAATTTCGACACCGTCGAGGCCCGCATGTCGTAACAGGCTTATAGGGTTGAACTTGCTAGCCGGGTTTAGGTTTAGGGTTTCTGGTGACTCTGTAGGGGACGTGCCGGCCCTTTCTCAACAAGGGTCTGCAGCGACGAGGTTGACAACAAGCCGCTTGCAGCACTTCAACCCCTCGAACGCAAAGCGCAGCATTTTAACCAGCATCTCTGGCCCAAGCCATCTGCTGCACCACGCCCCATTCAGAAGCATGCGTCTAAGCGCTTCAGGCGGTGCTGTCATTACATGACGGCTTGAGTGCAGAAGTTCGAGAGCGCCGAGCCATACTTACAACGTACGAAGCCTAAACTTGAACCCTGATCTCCAAAACCCCAAACCCTAGATTAGATCCAATCAAGCATTGGTCGCCTGGCGGCTCTGCCAAACTTTAACTTTAGCCATCATGGGCGACGCCCGCCGCAACCGCGCGCAGAGAGTGTGCACGTCCCTCCATCGGCTGCTCTCCTGTGTTGATCGTGCGTGGGGCAAGCTGCGGAGGAGCTGCAAGCGTCGAAGGAACTCTCAAAAGAGGGTGCTCTTCTATGGCTCCCAGGCCATCGCCAACCTTTTCGTGATGATCTGCGCGATCGTCCTGTACCAGATGGTGCTGTCCACAGCCACCACGATCAGCGAGACCTGCGGCAGCGATGCTGCCCCAACTAACGACACGGATCTGAAGAATCAGACCCTGACCAATGGCATATCCTTTCAGTGTGCCGGCGATGCCTTCGGCCTCAGTGCTTGCGAGTACTCAGATCTGCTGGACGTGGGGAACATGATGTACGCCAACTTCTACGTGAACGGCCTACAGTTTCTGGTGAGCTTGATTCTCATCTTCTGCCTTGGCAAGTTCACACAGATGCCAGCTGAGAAGCTGCAATTCGACAAGCGCAATGCGTCCAGGCTTATGATGATCTATGGCGGAATATGCAAGCAGGGCCCTTGGCTTTCGCGGCTCCTGCACTTTGTGCAGGGCATCCTCCTCTTCGGCTCATGGCTAATGATGGTTATGGGGTATTGCCGTGGAAACTTGGCGCTCACCAACTACTGCACTGCCTACAATGCAAAATGTGCATATAACAAGGCGCGGAACTGCCAGTACTACTACGTGTACTGCAAACCTGACGCCACGCTTTTGCCCAACTGCATGACCGAAAAGGGCCGTGCAGCCTTCTCGGGTAGAATGGACATCAGGCTTCTGTCAGAGGTGCACTGCGTGGCCTGTGGGATCCTCGAAGCAGACTTTGCCAACACCATGGGTGAGGATGAGTTTTACCTTCTTGAGGAGAGCTCCAGGGGAACTGAAGACTGGGTTTGCAATGAGCAGCTGGCTGGATGCTTCCACACGACTGCCTGGACAAGCATCAAGTGTGGCACCACTACCACCGGCGGAACCTGCGAGGCCTCTTTGGGGGGTGTGGTGACCGCGGACTTCTTGAGCGGCACGCTAGGCGGCATTGCTTGCGCGCGTCGCTTAGACGAGGTTGCAGATTCAGCGGAGGCTGCCTGGGCGTCCTCAGACGACGAGCCTCGCAAACTGCAAAGCACCGAGGAAGAGCTCCAGGTGTCTCAGCAATGCAGCTGGGGCCCACCCAGCATCGCAGACTACGCGTTTGAGTCGACCCAGTGCAGCCAGACCGGATCTTTGGTCTACCGCCTCAGCATGCTCTATATCTACTTCGCCGGATGCATCTACGCCGTCTTCACCATCCTTGGGCAGATCGTGCGCGTGATGCTCAATCCTGAGCCTTGGTTCTTCAACCCGCAGACTCCAGATGAGAGCATCATCTTCCGCTTCCTGAGGAAGGTAGCGCCATAGGATCTGAGGAGATGCTGACTGCAAAAATCCTGGAGACTCTTTTAGGGTTTGGGGTTTAGTTGGGGTTTAGGCTGTAGCTCAGCGAGCAGAGCAGACACCTGCTCCAGATAATGACTCCCTTCTCACAAATGTGAGCTTGAGGGCTGGCCATTGCTTGACCAAAAAGAACTTCAGGCCCCTCCCCCATACTTCCCATCTCTGATTGAGTATGTATACCCAGGCAGATCTTGTCTGAGTTATCAGCAGGTTCAGGGGTGGGCTAACACTTGCAACTCTTCTGATTTTTGGCTGCGGCCATTGGTTGTGCTCTTCTTCCCCTGATGCCCGCACACTTAAACCCCTAAACCCTCAATTCAACCAGGCGGGTGGCAACAAAATTCTACCTTTGAATCCTCGCCTTCCGTGCGCGAAGTGTAAAAAAGTCGAGATCCTATACTGGTATCAACACTGGGGAGGATTCAGGGCCGCTAGTGCCAGCATTTCCTTGCATTTCTTTCTAGCCTTCTCTTGAGAACTTCTGCTGCTTGACATAAAAAGTCTCAGCATTTATACCTTTTTTCATAGGTGTGGAGCATATTTGTTCATGATGGCTCTAAGGGGTCGCTGTTGTCTCCAGAAGCAACGCGCCCGGCACATGCTGGGGACCTTTCTGCCCCTTGAAACCCTAAAACCTGAACCCAAAAACCAAAAAGAAATCCCTAAACCCTAAACCCGAAACCCGAAACCCTAAACCCTAACCCTGCCTGCGGTTCGGCCGGCTATGCTGTTCGCCCTAAACCCTGTAGCAGCGGGTTTCGAAGCTCTTCGGCCCTTATCTCGTCGAGGCCAAGATCCTGGGGCAGGTGGACCAGCAGCCCCAATGTGGCGACATGTACGTTGAGCAGACGATCATCAACGCGGTTCCTTTCTCCGGTTTAGGGGTTATCGGGTTTAGGGTTTAGGGTCGATAGGGTTTACCTGGACCCCCAAAGTATGTAAAAAGAACAGCCCAACACCCTCAAAAGGGCCATTATGTTGCATATTTTGGGGGTTGAGGTAGGGTTTAGGAGGCATACGGCCTGACGCCAGCCATTAGCTGTAGGATAGACAACATTGATGGCCTGCCTCCCGACATTACGTGGAGCCCTCAGCCCTGATCCCCCCAACGTGCTTAGCCCAGTGGTAGCCTTTTGCTATTTGTGGCTTCTCGACGCCTGTATAAAATTACCCAACACCCTATGAGGGTATACTCTTGTTGATATGGTGGTTGTTGTACCTAGAACTTGCCTCACAACTTCCGTAGGTCTTCCACAACATCCCGGAGTTCTCGGAGCATTCCGTTAACACGGCCAGAGTCAAGACCTTTGCGCGGGTCATGACGCCAAGCAGCCGCACTAAAGCCTACAAAGCCTACAATTACAAGAAAGGCCCTGGGTCTTTGAATTTTCGGATTGGATTTGGGGGTTCGAGTCTATAGGGCTCATGGGTCAGGTGGGAAAGGCTCAGGTGCAAAAAGGACTTCCGTGAGAAGGAGGAGCTGGCAGGGGGTATACGAAATCCCATGTCCAGCCGTGTATCATGCGCGGGCTGGCCACTCCGGCTACGACTACCGCCAAGTTCTAAGTAGATCAGCCGTGGCTTCATGAAATTGCGCAAGGACATGACGTGTACCGAAGCTTTCCCGGATCATTTTCGGCCTTCTCCTTCTGTTGATACCCTAGACCCTAAACCCTAAACCCTTATGCCTCGCCTGGCTTGTCCGTGTGTGAGCGATTAAGCCCTAAACCCACTGATGAGGCACGTCGAAGGCGGCTGGCCAAAGGAGATTGACTACAGTGAGGCCCAGGATACCTTGAAGTATCGCAAGCGCCTGGAGAAGGACCCGGTCAGTTCTCAGGGAAGCCCCCCTCAAGACCCTAAACCCTAAGCCTTTTGCCCGGAGGCGCCGGGCTGCTAGGCCTGCTATTCATCTAGGGTTTGAGCGAGTGGTGGTTTGATGAAGGAGTTCCCCCTTGCATGGACTATAGTCGCTAGTCTTAGGCGCATTTGGGAATAACCCCTAAGGTTCCTGAAAAGGTCCCTCCTGTAGTCCCTTGGTAAACCCTTGCCGAAACCCTAAACCCTTACACCCTAAACCCTAAACCCTATCTGGTAACCGACCTACAAGCTTCTTCTTGGCAGGATCCGGCCTACATCAGTGCAGTGAGACAGCTCACAAAACAAACGGTCCCATGCTTGGAGATGACACTTGGCATCATTCGGGCTCAGGTCCACAAGGGGCTTTTTGGGGTGGATGTGCAGAAGATACGCATCCATCAAGAAAGGTTGCCGGATACTGTGGGGAGGGGGTCTTTTGAGTTTAGGTCTTGTAGTTTAGAGGTATCCTGGCAGCAGCCAGCCTTTTGCAGTTAATTACCCTCAATCCTAAACCCAGTCGGTCGAGAGCTCAGGAACAACACCATCGACCTGTTTCAGATTTATTTCCAAGATGAGGAGCCGGACCACATGCCGGAGATGCTTGGCTTGCAGCAGTGTTGCGTAGATTCATCCTCAATGTGTCGATTCGGGCTTTGCCGACCACCGAACGACAGCACTGCCTTCCAGCTTCAAGGCAATCAGTAACTATGCTACTGCTCTATGCAGTGGCAGCAATGACCTGCAACCCTATTGATTGAAACGCTACCAAACTGCCACCAACCTTCTTGCCTCACGTCCCGCCAGCGAACACGGCTTCGGCATGGTGTGTTCTGGATCCCCTACCCAAAGCCTTACCCGAAGACCCCAAACCACATTGGTAGGTTATGTCCGTAAAGACCCTGCCAGGATTCATGGCTCATCAAAGGCCAGCTTCATGTAAGAACCCTAAGAGCCCTAAGCCTTTGAACGCCCGAACGTCCAAGGATTCTCAACCTGAAGACGATCGCGCTCTTCAAGGCTCCTTCCGAAGTCATATGCGGGCCTTGTGTAATCAGGGGTTATGAGAGGATAATATTGGTAGTCGTTCAGGCTCCTGCATCATACAGTTTAAGCTTTAGAGTTTTGCGTTTAGGGGGGTTGAGAGGCCATTGAGGGCATGTGGATGGACAGAGGGTTCAATGTCTGTTTTGTCCACGTGGTATCGTGTCGCAACGCCCTTGAGGCTCCCCCACTCAGGTGTGGGAAGGATTCCGGCCGATACACCTCAAGCCCTCAGCTCGTTTATAAGGCTTTGGGGTCCAGCTCGATCCTGAACTAGCCGAGATCTTTGCAGCGTCAGATGTCAAACGTGTATAAAGCCCACCACCCCCAAACCCTACACCCTTAACTCGGGTTGTTCCCCCTTTTTATAAACAGTCCTTAGTAGGGATTATACTCGGGGGTACTGTAATCCCTATTAAGGACTGTTCGTATAAGGGGTCAACATCCCAACCCTAAACCCTAGACCCTAGACCCTAGACCCTAGACCCTAGACCCTAGACCCTAAACCCTAAACCCTAAACCCTAAACCCTAAACCCTAAACCCTAAACCCTAAACCCTAAACCCTAAACCCTAAACCCTAAACCCTGCACGCTAAACCCTAAACCCTAAACCCTGCACCCTAAGCTCCCAGGATCCTTCGGATGAAGCCCGGAGTGTCACCAAAATCGGTTGGCACCCAGAGGGGCCCACGAAGTGACTTGCCGCCCACAGGGCAACGGGCTCTGGGGTTTCGGGTGGCTTTGGGGTTTTCTGGTTTAGGGTCTTCGGGTTTAGGGTCTTCGGGTTTAGGGTCTTCGGGTTTAGGGTCTTCGGGTTTAGGGTTTTCGGGTTTAGGGTCTTCGAGTGTAGGGTTCATAGGGTTTAGGGCTGCTTACACGGCTGGCTGCTTGGAGACCTGATTGCAAAAAGGGCTTTCTGGGCTTCTTTCCATAGGCTGAGCTCCAACAAGATCATGATGTTGGGGATGTGTAAGGTTGGTGGAGACTTGCTGATGATAGGGAGAATGCAGGCGGGCCTCCTTACCGGGCAAGCTCGACTTCTCGGTAGCTTGAAGCCGCGGCAAGGGGAAATCTAGAAGTTATGGGGTTGATGTGCTGCTGACTCCCCCCCCCCCTCCCCCTCCGCCGAGACCCGAATCCCTATATACCTATCCCCTCACGATTAAGGAGGTTCAGCTTGCAACTCAGGCTGGTGGGTTCGTACTCCAACCTTCGCTTTCAGCGCACCTTGGGTACAGAACAGCACCTTGAGTTGCCTCACCGTGCAAGGGTGTTTAGGCCTCACAAAGACCCATAGGCAACTATTTCAGAGGGCAAAAATGGCTGCAAATTGGCAGCCCATCCTGGTCGGAGCACCGGCTTGCATGTTCCGCGCCCCTATGCGTTCAGAAAGAGAGCTCTCTCCTCCGGGCGCTGAGTGTGTCTGAGGCATGTCCGAAGACATGCCCATGGCATCCTTCATCTGGGACATCTCGGAGCGCAACGTTCCCTTGATGGAGCTGCGAGCAATGTCGCCGCTGATTTGTTGCCAGTACAATCAGAAGAATGCGGACTGGCTTCTCAGCCGGAAATGGAACCCTAAACCCTATAAGCCCTGAACCCGAAACCCTAAACCCTGAACCCTAAACCCTAAACCCTAAACTAGTCGCTAATTAGTGGGAACCCTCCCGGGCAGACTAAGTCCGAGGTTGGTCCCAAAAATCCCTGCACACCGTATTTAATATGGTCAGTTCCCTGAATTGGGGGCGACTTCGGACCCCCAAAACAGACCCTAAACTGATCCTCTGTGCAAGCCTTTCTCTGGTTGTTGGCTACGGCTACGGCCTACATGCATAAAGAGCCCAGCCCTAAACCCTAAACCCAAGAGATAGTGAAGAGATGCAGGCTCTTGGGTGGCAGCTACAATGGCCTCATCAACCATTACGACTTGCGCAAGGGTCCGTCACCATGCATGAAGTCCTCCGTAGAGGTGGGACACTATGATCCCGTCACCTGGTCGCAGTTCTTATTTTTTAGGGTTTAGGGTTTAGGGTTTGCTGACAGATGCCTAGCTTCGGGATCGGCGTAGCTGCTCCAGTTAGCAGATTTCCGGTGGAGGAGGCAAGACATTGCGTGGAGGCCTTTTCTGACTTTCTGGCCGGTAGAAGGGTTGACGTTCTTAGGTACCCAGGCCCTTCACAGTGTGCATGGGCGTTGAAGCTCCTACTATGGACATATTCAGAGACATGATCAACTCGAAGAGGAAGGCCTTCATAAGCTCGTTGTTTCATGCAGCTGCTGATCAAAATGCAGCGGTTTAGGGTTCAGGGTTTAGAGTTTTCAGCTCGCCCGCGCCTTTTGCCGGACCGCGCCCTGGTTGTATTTTTGCTGACTGCAGCACTCCCTTGGCTGTGCATTTGATCTTGGGGAGAGCACTCACATGGGTGTTAGTTTAGGCCTCGGAAATTTAAGCTAAGCCTCCCAAAGCCAAAGAGAACATGAAGTTCAGCACATCCAAACTCGCGTGGCCCCCACTTTGCCAGAGCCCGAGGTCTATGACGTGGTCTGGCTGCAGAGTCACTGGGTCTTGGAGCAGTATGCTTTACTTCCTGCACGTGCTTTTTGTCGGGGAGGGGGGCTTTTTGGTTGCCACCAATGGAAACACGCTAAACCTTGTAGACCCGAAAGCAGTTAGCCTCGTAAGAGCAAGACGTACAGTTCAGCTAAGCGGGCGGCAAAAAAAACCTTTTGGGCTCATACGACTGCTTGACATGAGCTCCCATCGTTCTTAGAGCCTGCACAGACCAACGGACCTTGCCTGCCTTGTACTTGTGTGAGTGTGAGGGACTAAACCCTAAACCGCTTGGTGGTTCCTGTGGATGGCGGAGGCAAGACGGGCACGGAGTGCGCCTCGGTGTCTTCGGACGGCCGCCTACTCTTCTGGGACGTGCGGAAATTGAGCGAGGACCCCTTCAGAAATGTCCCATCAACCATACACCTTTTAAATGGTTGAGGACACCTGTATGGTTTTGAAGTCGAAGTCTTTGTGGCAAGGGCCTGGTTGATATGTACACCTCCCCCCACCCCTCGACCTAAACCCTAAACCCAAACACTGTAGGGCATGCGAAGCGCGACTTGACCTGGCAGGTGCAGGACGAGTGTGTGCTCACCGATGGGAACAAGGAGCACCCAAAGACCTTAGGCCTGCGGTAGGGCTTCGGGCTTAGGGCTTGGGTCTTAGGGCTTAGGGTTCAGGGTTTAGGGGCTTAGGGATTCTAGGGTTTAGAGGTTCAGTGTCCCGAAGGTATGGGGTTGTACCCCGAGTCTCCCAAGCCGATATTGTAAAACTCTGCAAGTCAGTGCTTAATCTGGTTGGCAGCCCATTGGTACCCTTTTGCCCTTTGGGGATCAAGGTTCCCTTAGACAGCAACCAACCCCCCAAAAGGGTACCCCTACTGGAATATGGTTGCTGGGCTAACAAGTTAAAGAAAGGGTTGTAGTGAGTTATTTGCCCTAAAGACACTTGAGACTCAAGGTTCCAAGAAGTAGGTCGAGGGTTGGGTACGAGAAGTCAACGGGATTCGGGTTTGGCTTGGGCAACCCTAAACCCCCAAACTCTGGCTGTTGATTCGAGAGGCCAGTGAAAGGGGGCTTGGAGTTCAGGGCTCCAGTGAGATAGTAAGATATGGTAAGTGCACTTCTGTGTGGCAGAAAGGCTTGGAACCCGGAGGTACAGGTCGCCTTGGGCTTCAAGCCCCGAAACCTCATCATCATAGGACGCTGAAGTATCTTCGAAGGGTGGTTTATAACAACAGCCGAGTGAGTAGGTGTGGGGAGCTTCAGGTACTTCCTTCTCAGACTCCAAGCCGTCGGCCCCCAGCTAGAAAGACCTGCACTGGCAACCTTCGGACCCCATGGCCCTAAACCCTAAACCCTAAACCTTAAACCCTATAACCCTAAACCCTAGACCCCATGGCCCTGAAGGTGGTGTCTCCCTGGAGTGGATGCAGGTGGGGCCTTGATACCTACTAGCCTTAACAAGGTTGGGGTTCACCTCAGGATAATGCTGCGACAGCTTGACTGCGTGTTTGGTCCATGGGGGTCTACCGCTCTTGTGTTGCTCTGTTGACGATGAACTGGGAGGGGGTCTTGTGTGTCGAGCCCCCGCCACCGGACTATGATAATAATGACCTGCGGGGTCTGTGGAGCCACCCGCTTGTTAGTTGAGGGAGGTCTGTCTTGGTGTTTCTTTTGGCCCTCATCTGGGCACATTCTCATGTCGTGCAAGCATCAGGTGGCATGTCGGCGTGACATACTGACGGCCTTACTATGACCAGTTCTTCCTATGATTTTTTTCTGCAGAAGACTGCTGGTGTTACCCAGGCCGCCATTGCCATTATGAGTTTCAATATTGCACTTGCTTGAATTATCACGACATACCACGACGACGATTCCGACTACACCAACAGTTGTTTTTCTTGCTTTTCAGATTCGTACGCTTATTCTCAGATATATTGTTTTACTTACTATTCAAATGGTGATGACACTTATCATTGCACATATTACTCCTGTGCTTGCTAGCCATAGCTAATCTTCTCACTTGTACTCCTGGTGCAATTATTCCTATTTTGGCGACTATTTTCAATATTATATCACTGTCACTGTTGCTGTTCTTGATGTTGATCCTATAGTCTTACTTTTACTATTGCCATTCCCTTACCTATCTGATAATGACTACGATATCTAAAACTGAAATTAATATAACAGTATTCTTGCCATGATTATGCTTCTGATTACTTGCTGATTAATTCGAGCTCGTATGAGTCTCTCCTGGCTATGTAATTCAAAATCTTATTTGGCTGGCGGGGGGGTGTTGGGTGCGTGAGATGTGAGAGAAATTGCTTCAAGGGGCCGGGGGGTGGGGAGGGTGGACCCAAACTAGAAAAGCAAACCCCCCCCCCTTCCCCCCCACAAAAAATAGCAAGGTCGGGAGCCCGACCTTGCAGCCCACAGGGATGCGTCCTCCGTCTTGCAGTTGCAGCGGTAAAGCTCTCCAGACTCCAGACTCCACACCCTCGCGCGACAACCACTGCATACAAGCAAGCAGGAAGCCCCTCGACCCCGTGAGCCCTGGCTCTAAACCCCAAACCCCCAAAGCCTTGAAGCCCTAAACCCTGAACCCTAAACCCTAAACCCTAAACCCTAATCCCTAATCATGCAGCCGAAGCCATAAACCCGAAACCCGAATCCTGCAGCAGAAGCCCCTGTGCAGGAAGCAGGGCCTACTAAGTTCTTGGTCGGCTCCGAGCACGGCATCATCCTGTCCTGCACAAAGCGGCCCAAGAAGCAGGCAATGCGCTTGTGGCATTTAGGGTTTAGGGTTTAGGGTGTAGGGTGTAGGGTGTAGGGTGTAGGGTGTAGGGTGTAGGGTGTAGGGTGTTAGGTTGGGCTTCAGAGGCCTGGATGTAAAAGGTTGGGCTTCGCATTGTGTGGCTTGGGCTTCAGCGGCATTGAACAGTGGACCCACACTGCGGATCATGCATGAAATTTGCATACCAATACTTTTCAATCACTCTGCAACCATGGAAACAGTTGGTAGCACGATCTCTGACCCACCCCACCCCCTGCACCCTCGGGCCGAAAGCCGAAAGCCCTAGCACAGTCACCACTCGCCGTGCAGAGTGGGCTGCCCCAGCTAGTCAGAGGTTCAAGCACCATCGGCCGAACTGTTGCAACAGCCCTGCTGAGCTTGTAAAAGACTTTAACCCCTAGAAGCCCTTAGAGTTCTCTTATAGGCTTTATAGGGAATCTTTGCAAATTTGTAAAACCCGAACCCTTTAAACTCCCACAACAGGTAGAAATCGGAACCTGGTTCGGCTCAGAAGACCGGGGTGGCTACGGCAAGCACTTCGGCCCCGTGTATTCCGTGCTCTGGCTGGAATTCCTTGTGGCATTTGAAGTTTATACCATAGGGGTTTTTATAGAAGAGTACTGATAATGAGAATGCTACTGGAACACCTGCAGGCCTTGGGGTCGGGCAGCCTAGCTTATAGGAATTTAATAGGGATGTTTGCGACCGGATTGCGTGAGAGTTGAAGTCGTGGTTTGAGGAGCAGGATTTCGGGTGTGCGGAGATGCGCGGCGTGTCGTGTTTGGGAAGACAGCAGAGGGCTGCGGAAGCGGTTTGCATGAGAAGCATGTCCTGGCCAGGTGAAGCGCAACCCTTTCCATGTCAAGTTCTTCTTGAGTGTGGGTGATTGGTGCGGCAAGATGTGGATGGAAGAGCTTAAAGGCACGGGCCTTGTTGTCAGTAAAGTATTCGAGTAGCCAGGGCGCCGAAATCAAGTTGCTAGTTGCAACGATCAGCTGCCACAGGCCCAATGCTCCAGACGCCCTACTACCCGGCCTTCATTAGCGCAGCTGGGTGGAGTCCGACCCGTGCGGGAGCCACTCCGATGAAAGATGTTGACTTTCCAACAGGAAGCGATGGCAGGCGTGCAAAATCAAATATCCCCTAATATTGTCCGTTCGCAGTGGTAGGAGAGTCATACAAGTTACAAGTGTTTGCCTAGGCTTAGGAACGATCGGATGCATGCAACCTTTCAAGGGTTCTACCAAACCAACAGACACGAAGCCCCGAATGCATTGGGGGCGACCTCACGGTCATCAACAAGGCGTTTGAATCACCAATGCAGTATGTGAGTCACGCATGCGATGGAATCTAGGTCTTCTTCCTTGCACGTCAAGATGGTCGTCTGGACGTGTGGGACTACTTCTACCGAATGAACGAGGCCGCGGCGTGTGAAGTAGGAGCACACAGGAAAAAGGCATGCTGTTGTCAGCGGTCCTTGCCATTTCTGCATTTCAAGAGTCGAGAATGGAACCTGTAATCTGGGGATTCGGGGTTTCATTCGGCGTTTCACCTCTTACGTGGCTCGACCGTTTTCACAACCTGTTGTGGGATCGGTCCGCTGGTACTAGTATTTGTTGAATTCGCAAATACACCGATGCACAGGATTACATGTTGGATAGGACGTGGGCTGGACTCGGCTCTAGACAATTGGGCTGAAGAGCTAGCTGTTAACATGGCCTGGCTGTTTTTTGGGTCAAAGATCAGCTTAGCAACGTGGGCTTCAGGCATCTGACGGAAAGACCCGAGAATACCCGAGACCTTGAAGCCACACCTTGAGCGGCCGATAGGCGATGCATTGCAACCTCAAGAAAGAATCTCGCAAGAAACCCTGAACTCCAGCAAACTCCTAAACCCAAAACCCCCCAAACATACGAGGACAACTCTAGATCGATGAAACTCCCTGACCCTACCGCAAACCCTTTAAACCCTAAACCCCACTGATCCTGGCGCAGGTGGCTTTGACCCAGCAGGTCTCAGACCGGGCCCTCACCTCGCTGAACATCCAATCGCAGGCTCAAGGGTTTCCTACTTGTACTAACAGTCCTTGGACGATAGTACTCCTTAAGGACTGTTAGCATAAGGGGGAACATCCCAAGTTTAAGGGTTCAGAGGGTTGAAGGCTTCAGGCTTGGGGTTTTCGGGATTTCTTGGCGGTTTTGCGTTTTGCTTCGGGTGGATGGGGGTTGTAGGTTTTTGGAATTCCCCCCTATGAAGGGCAGAGTAGGTCGGACACAGCGTCGCACCTGAGGGGGTCGTAGAGAGTTCCGGGAGCTTGGGGAGTGGTCGAGCTACTGCTTTGTGGTGCTTGTGGGCCAAGAACTTCGGGTCAAGGGTTCATGGCCACCGAGCCATACAGCCGGCCGAGGAGACGTAAGGTTTGCACTTGAGGTTTCAAGGGATGACTCCGACTCCAATGGTGGCGTGACCATACAGAGGTAGCGTTTGGGGATGATTGGGGTTTAGGGTAGGACATCTGGCAGAAGCGGGCCCTACAATGCCTTTAACAGTAGAGCGCAAAGTCACAAGCCCCCCGGTCCACTACAGAATCATCTCATCTAGGTTAAAGGTTTTAGGTTTTGCCCCTTTCCCTGAGTTCTACCCCCCCTTCCAGCGAGTGCTTTTGTCCGGCCGGATCATCACCCAGAAACCTGGCCAGACGCTAATGCTGTTTGGCCACGAGTAGGTATTGCCCCAGCTGAACCCTATGAATTATTGATTATTGTGACCCTTTTTTCCTTTGGGGGGGGGGGGGGGGGGGGGGGAGGGAGGTTGTTGTATTGGGGGAGCCCAATCCTGCAGAGGGCCCTAGTTGTGAGAGTCGAAACCTGGAAAAACCTAACCTAACGTCCCGAGCCGAAACCCAAAACCTAAAACCCTGATGGGAAAGATGGCCACTCGTAGAAACCTGACCTAAAGGGACCTAAAGGCCCGAGCCCGAAAACCTAAAACCCTAATGGGAAAGATAGCCACCCAGTAGACTCCACTTCCACAGGGCCGGCTGGCAGCCGTCGGAGACGCGGGAGGCACGCGTCTTCTCCCCTTGTGGCCCATGTGTTGCCGCTTCCTTTGCCTTCCAAAAAAATGGGAGGTTGGTATCCCGATATCCCATTTATTGGCGGGTCGTAGCCCGATGTCTGCTGGGTTGGCGGGCCGCAGGTAGGGCTTAGATTTAGATCGCTTAGGGTTGGTATTCTTGCCTTGTGTAAGGTAAGAGGAGGTAGTGTAGTTTAGCCACGACCCCCTGTTCCCTGCCACTAGAGCCGAAACTCTGCAGCAGCTGTTGCAAAACGAGTCCTTGAGCCACTGTTTCATGGTTGTTGAGCTCTGCAAACGCAAGGGGGTCTGAACGAATAGTTAGACCTGAACCGGGAACTTGAACAGCGCAGGATTTTGGGCAGTGGGCGGGAAGCTAAGCCGATTGCACAGACAAAAGCCCCGAAGGCGTCATCACCCTGCTGCAGCTGTGTGACGGCCTCGTCGATCCAGGCCTGGGTTGAAAATGCTGCGCGTGGAGTTGGGTTGGCTAGGTACGGTTAAGGGTCACTGCACGAAGTGCTACGGCGAATTTTCGAAGAAGGTGCCCATGAACCTGGGTGTCGGAGGGAGGAGCTAGTGAACTGACTACGTCATTTGCCGGTGCCATTTTGTTGTGACTTCCTTCTGAACGTTCAACTTATCCTTTCCGGATCCTGGGAGAAGAACAGGACAGCCTTTGAAGCACATGCCTCACCTGACTCCCCACTCTTGAATAAGACAGCGGCACAGAGGTGTGGCTCGCCTCATAGCCCGATCACAGCAGCTTTGCAGTACCAGGCCCCAACGAGAAGAACCTGATTGGCCTGATGCTGGATAGGGAGACGAAGCGCGAGAAGAGCTTGGATCAGATCAAGAAGCAAGGAGGGGTCGCGAAGAAGGAGCCCCGGAGCTTGGGCTAGAGGGGTTTGGGGTTAAAGGGTTTCGGGCCTTCAAAGTCCGTTGCTCAAAAAGGGGTTTAGGGCTTTGGGTTTATGATTTCTTGCGTCAAGGTAAAGGTTTCTTGCTTGAGAATGTTCCGCATGCCTTTTTGCTAGGGTTCGGCATCTCAGTCAGTGCTGAGTTTGCGCGACTCGTGGCACCATTCCGGCAGCGCCCCCAGGCAGTACTCCGGCAACGCCCTCGGCTGCAAAAAGGGTCCAGGGTTTAGGGTTTAGGGGACTTACTCGCCGCCAAACCTCAAGCCTCCCTCAAACCTCAAGCCGTGTAGAAGTGCTTATAAAGCTGCAGGACGACAAGGAGGGAGCCGGTGGCATGACCATCGACAAGACAAAGTATCAGGAGCGGGAGAAGGCTTTCTTCACCGAGCTTAACATGACCGGCGACGACCTGGGAACCACCCTTCCAGCACGCTGAGACCGCTAAGATGTCTGCGATGGCTGGGACTTCGTGTTGTCAGGGAAAGCCTTTTGCCTGTTTTTCCTACTGCGCAAAGGTGCCCGGGAGGCGAGGCAGTGTATAGCCCGACCATCCACCCTCCCCCGTGCGCGCCGTAGCGTCTCACTTCTTTGTGCTTTAATTTCGAATTCCATGCTGAGGGCACGTCCGCAGGGTACTTTGGACCATGTTTCACCCGGAGCAAACAAAAGCCTGCTCTTGAAGTACGTTGCGGAGGAGAAGCCCTCCCCCCAAAAAAGGACGGCCGTGATGCTGCTCTGCGTGCTCTCCGAGTTGCCCAAGTTCTTCGGGGGGTTGAGGCAGTCGCTAAACTTCCCCCCGAGCTACCCTGAATCCTAAGAACAAACCCCCCCTAAACCGACCTTCCCACACCCGCCCCAAAACTCCAAAAGCTAAAACCCAAGAGCCTTAGAGGACCAAGGTTAGGTGTCCTCCAATCGAGGCTGCAGTGCCGGCTCGTGGCAGCTGGCACGCCGGGATCTGAACTGCGTGCTTCAGGAGGGTCAGCTTGCCAGCATTCACGCACCCCGGCGCCCCTCATGGTATTTCAGGGTGGGCTTTTGGGTTTGGGGTTCCCCTCCTCTTCCCAAAAATGGTTTAGGGTTCCCCGCGTCCGAAACAGAGGAGAGCAACAGAAGAATTTGCCAAGCCCAGTTGCAGGGAAGAACCGGAGAGGCTTGCAACGGAAACCCGGAGGGTTGAAGAGGGCCCATTTGCTCCCCCGCATTCGGGATCTTGCTGCTCTTTCCCTCGATGTAGTCCTGCAGCTCTATGGCAGGTAGCTAAACGACGACAAAAAACTGCCGAACCCTGCTTACTGCTTGAGGTTTCAATTTGGGACATCTCCCAAGCCTTCTAACCCATAAGACAGGGTTTCGCACGGGCGGTATAGGCAGAGGTATATACGCTTTACAGGGGGTGTGAGGGATTTGCAAGACACCCGTGCAATTCATGCAAACCAGTCCGGACGCCCCCTTTCAACCTTAGGCCACCTGCCCGAAGCCCCAAGTTGCTCCGCACAACTGCAGGACCTCGAGGCACGCGGAGGGGATCTGCAGACAGAGTGGGGCGGATTCACTGTAACCCTAAATTTCGTCCAGCTCAACATCCAGGCAATGTAAGGGCTGCTCAGAGCACTCAAGGAAGATACGACCGATCGAAGTGCCGAAGGGCAGATAATTTGGAGCTACCCTCCTAGATAGCATGGGCTTGGTTTTGGGCGGGGTATGGGCATTTGCGGAGCCAAGGCTTCCAGGGGGTGGCGGGGAGTTGTGAGCTGTAGATTTGGCCCTTGGTGTATGGTCTTGCTTCCTAGGTTAGGGGGCGCTGGGAGTCGGCCGAGCGAACACATGAGGGTTCACCAGCTGCAGGTCGCTTTGATCTGTGCACATAAGGTCATAAGGGTTTTACCAGCTCTGGGGCTTAATTAGGCTTGGGTGCAGTCGAGGTTTGGGTGTCTTCGCGGCCTCCAGCACCCTCGGATTTTGGAGCACCCCCAATCAGATGGTTCTCAACATCCTAATGCCGCTGAGCAGCTTCACACCACCAAACTCTTAGGCAACATCCCGCAAGGCCTACATCTTAAGAGTAGTCTTCAAGCCATTGGCTCCTGAAACGAGGCCCCATAGAGTGCGCGAGATGAGATTCCAGGGTAATGTTTTAGAGTTTAGGCGGCTTGTGCTTCGGGATTAAAAAAGCTGTTTAGGGCCTGAGTTTAGGGTTCCCAAAGATAGAGGCATGCAAAGGATCAAGCAGGAACTTCGTCAGGTGAGGTTTTAACATGGTAGTTCAGCTGCAGGTAGTTTGCCCCAAGTCTGTGGTTGTCACTTGAGGTTTAGGTCCCTGAATGGGATGTACGTGCACGTGAATCAAGGCTGCCTGTGGGATGCGAATTCTTGGCTGTTGACACAGATGCTTGACTTTGGTGCTCTGGGTTCAAATGGAGCTTAGTAGGTAGATGACCTGAGGAGCCCCAAACATGAAAGCTGAGAGGACATGATTCCCACGAAATAGATGCGTCCTTCCATGTGCTCCTGGAGCACTGTGCTCTTCGAGAGTGGGTTCTAGAGGCCACCAGCTTGGAAAGCCTGTTGAGAAAGAGGCCAGTGCAGGTACGATGTCGGTTCGATGATTGACCGTGATCCTTCACCTTCGGGCAGATTGCCATGAGTACTGGATCACACCTGTTGCTACAGCTGCTGCTGACTGGCTTCGTTGGTGCGCACGATCAGGAATGAAGCTTGGCCATCAGGGCTTTAAGCCTCCAGTCGTGACTTTGAGCTTAAGGCCTAGCAGATTAAGGTTTGGTCCTTGTTTCCGAGTCGTATTGCAGACGAGAAGGACTTTCGATGCCTTCAATCCTGGAACTTAAGCCGCCAGAGTACAATCTACTTAGGCCACATCCGCCGCCCCATCGACTGTCCGCTGCAGGCCACGTGGTGAGACCGGACTTTGTGCTCGGCTTTTTTTTTCCGGTTTGGGGGCGTAGTACGTAGGCAGCTTCAAGAAAAGGTCAGGATGGCACGGCACCCAAACTCAAGCCACTTAAGTCCATGGCACCCAAACACCTTCTAAGCCCTTAGTTGAATCAAGCTCCACCTCCTGCTCTGCGTAGTGAAGATCGTTGATCTTCGGGAGCTTTGCAACTAGGGCGTGCGTGCGTGCCTCGGTGGGTAAAGTTTTTAGGGCTTGCAGGGTTTGGAGGGTTTAGGGTCGCTGCTGCGGTTGTGACACCTGAAGAGTCCAGCTTGAAAAGGGTCGGCACTTTGTAGAGCTTTTTTACAGACTGCTGCTGAGCCTCTTCTGGGCCTTCTGGGAACGACTCATAGTCGTGGCTGTAGCGAGCAATGACTACGCTGTCTTCAAGCACTTTCTTCCGATTGTTCAAGACCTTATGCTCGGAAGTTGGAGTCTTGGTGGGGGAAACTTGAGGCCTGGCACCCTAAACTCGTTGCCTGCGCTCGCAGGCAACGATCGATGCCACGGCGGAAGGTCTACCCTTTGAGGGCCATGGCGCCATTTCTGCGCGAGGACAGGGCGTTTTCTTTCCCCAAAGAGTGGAGGGCTTAGACTGTTTAGCTTCAGTCCACCTTCGCCCTACCCTGCGAATGCTGCGCAAAGCTGGTCGTCTGAAGTTGGCCGACTTGAAATACTCAGTCCATGCAGTAGCCCCGTGGAGCATTGCTAGACGAGCGGCGAAAAATCCAAACTTGCTTTGTTTTTTTATTGCGCTCAGTATCTCAATGTACGAGGCTCTTGGAGGTTTAGGGGCCCCGAAGCAGAGATCCTGAAGATGTAGAAAAGCCATCCTTTCCATATAGAGAATGAGGGTCAGTGGTTCGGTGCTAGGTTAAGTTGCAGGGGCCCCTGACATTCCGCCACAGATTCCCGCAGGTAGCAGGTAACCGCCCTAAACCCCTGCGAGCTCCACGATTCGTTAAACAGCAGCTGCGGGAAAACCCAAAACCCCCCCAAACCCTACCAATTAGCGTCTCGGCTGACAGCCAGCCTCCCCATAACACGACTTGTTTGACTTGTGCCTGCAGCGCAACAGTCCCAGCTGGGCAGCTGGGAAAACCAAAGCCCGAGCGCCTTTTCAAAGTAGTAGCTATGACTTTGATTCCTCTGTTCTCTGGGTGCCATGTCTGGCTGAGCGTGATGTGACAATCCAGCAGTTTTCGGCTACTTGTGCAACATGTCACCGGGTTGAGTATTTCGGCAGCCACAAGATGAGACGCCTGTTAAAAAGCGAACAGCAAAGCTTTGTCACTCAGCTTCCCAGCCTTGCTTTTGACTTCAAGGCTTTAAGGCCCTGCAGTCCGCCGACCAAATCAGTCAGGTCCAGTAGGCAACGGTTTTAGGGCTCAGCGGCTTCAATGTCAATGTGCTATAGCATGGCCTGTAGCCCCCAGACGCCCCCACAACAAAGCTGCCGATTCTGCAAAGCCCCATAATCCCTTCAATTCGGAAACCGCCAAGAAGTCAAGACCCCATCAGTGGATTTAGGGTTTAGGGTTTATGGTTTAGGGCTTAGGGTTTAGCATGGACCGCTAGCGGCATTGGGCTTGCTCGTGGCTCGTGCTTTGGGTCAGCAGAAGACAGATGGCAATTACGACATCGCAAGTCATTCACAAGTCAGGGTTTAGGGTTTAGGGTTTAGGGTTTAGGGTTTAGGGTTTAGGGTTTAGGGTTTTAGGGTTTAGCGATTCTTAAGGCATCGCTCCCCATGCCCCCTCTTTGTCTCACAAGAGCGCAAGGAACTTCGCGACTTCTCTTCGACTACCCAGAGGCTGTGCGATCCGCCCTTTGGGCAGAGATTTGGGCGGGTGGAGTCTAAACTACAGATCTGTTCGTTTGGGGCATCTGTGGGGGGTTTCAAGCATGGCTAGGAGGGGCCATATCCATCTAGAGAGGTCCTCTCACTGGGGCTCGGTGTGATCAGGCCGGACACTTTCACCCCACCCCCAACAGACCAAGCTATTTCCCTCCTGCGTTGGCACCTGAGTGGCACCAGCAACCTCCTGTAATCCCACGGGCTATCTTGAGGGCAGCTATGTACAAGCCTGTAAGTTATGGATCCTTCCTTTGCCCAACGTCGCGATTAATGTCAAGACCAGCAGCGGTCTGAGCCAGCAGCCCTCCCACCACCCCTCACTCCTCAGATTCAACCTCAGTTTAGGGTTTAGGGTTTAAGGTTTAGGGTTTAGGGTTTAGGGTTTAGGGAGTTTCATTTGCGCCAGCCTGGCCGAGCTTAGGTAGTCCCTTCCTTTAGGCGGGCAAGAAACCTACCGACTACCGAACCTGAAGCTGCCAGCCCCAGCAGAGGACGCAACTACTAGATAAGTTCTGGCCCTGGCTTTGGGTTCCCAGATGATTTCAAGGCCTGGCCACACTGGCCACAGGCTACATGTGTAAATGGGCCCGGATTTAGGGATCTGGGTTGTGCTTTCTGGCTGCAA